ATATACAATCGAGAAATGCCTTCTTCATCAACCATTATATCTCTCAAAATTCAATAAGGATTGTGAGAGTGCCGGAAGAGGTGCTCTGGAGGTTTAAAGTGACTGTACTGTAATGGAATACTTCATGATATTTCATTTCATGTTATACTGCAAGTTATTTACATAATAAACAGTTCCAAACGAACAACGGCTTTATATACCGTTGAGTTCGGACTAGAATATGCACTCTAGAATAAGTTTAATGAATCTCATCCGAGATATACTTTCCGTGTTCCAGAACCGCCAGGTGAACCTCCTAACTGGCTACCACCTGCAACCAACCTGACAACCAGAATCAGTATTTAGAGGCCAAAATGGATGTGAAAGTAGTAGATAACTGTATATCTAGTTGTTCAGTAAGGGTAGCAAGTGGGACGATTTTGTGGTTTGGTCGAAAGTTTTGACTGGCGGTTCTGGAACATGGTAAACCTCGGTGCCTTGAGTGTAATAATTCCGTTTTAAAACTGCTATTTGGGTATTGGTTTATAGAATTGGTACCAAAATGTTTAACTTAGTTGGGTTCAGTGACAATAGTGTTGCAGGACTGGCAAGTTGATTAGCTCATGTCTTACAATGATTGATTGGGTATTTGGACATGATAAATTGTCACAAGCGCATATTATTCTAGCATTTCAAATTTGAATTTATTCATTTTCTTCATTGCTGTAACTATAGGATGGTATCATATCTTGGTGACCCTCTACCGTGTTCCAGAACCGCCAGGTCAAAATCGTACCGGAACCGCTAGGTCAACCTCCTAACTGGCTACCACCTGCGACCCACTTGAAAACCAGAATCAGTATTTAGAGCCCAAAATGAGTTCCAAAGCAGTTGATAATGATAGATTTAGTCGTTCAATAGGTGGACAAGTCGCACTAGAGTCATTCACGTTCACTTGTACCATCTCCGTCGATTCACACCACCTACCTCCTCCCCTCGCACCTTCTGTGAAACACATATAAAGCGGGGTTTCTGGCATCCTAAACTGTCTGATTGCTTCAATGAATGTCTCAAAATGATTTAAAGTTGCTTCTGTGCTCGTTAACACAGGAGGATCTAAATAACTTATATATGAGATAGGGGAGCAGGTGGGGACAAATTTGTGCTTTGGTCGAAAGTTTTGACCTGGCGGTTCTGGAACACCGTACTCTCAATATATGCCAGTCAGGCAATAATCTTGATTGGTTCAAGCTGGTGACATTGACTGATAGCTTACAAGTAAGATAGTCCTCTTTCACAAAATTTGAACTTTGCACGGTGGCCAATAATTAGATACAATAGGTGGTGGTCATCCTCGACCTAATATCGCTTTTTGATGCATAAAACGAACCGGAAATATTAGGCTACCTGTATGAACCTAGAGTGAAAAGTGTTTGTTTCCCCCCTTTTTTCTTCTTGGACGATGAGTTAACGGAAGGATCGTCTATAATTGTAGGATCGGGACGTGATTCTGCGCCCCATGCATTGTTCGTTGCAGGAGGTCCAGTAATGGCTCTGAGAGATGATTGGCCCGAAACGAACTCCTTTGGTGCTCTTGCTACGTTTGCAGACGGTAATGAGGGAAAGGCTGATGAATTGGACGCAAGCTCCTCGGTTTGTCTTGTTTGCGGTCGAGTCGAATTGCTCGGTAATGTCATACCACTTGCAGAACGCGACCAAGGAGTGGAAGAACCAGTGGGCAGAGGCACGCGCGTTGCATTTGGGATGCGATGCGGCATAGATGTCGACGTGGATGCTGCGGCTTGCTCGACTCGATCCCAAACTCTCTTTCGTCCACCAGCTGCCGTCTGAAGTCGTTTAACTTGCAAAGCGCGCCCATTCGCTACACCAGCATAATTTCCAGAGCTAGCGGGGACAAGGGAAGGAAATTCGGGCCGATGCTCTAATTTGAAAGTATTCCAAGCACTCAAAAGGTCTGATTTCTTGTCTTCATTGTCCAAAAGGTTGACCAACGATGACAACAAGCCCCCTGTCACGTCGAGCTGTTGGTCCAAGATCGTATAAAATGTATCAACAAGGTCCCTCGCGCTAGATTCAGATGAGCGATATGCACGTATGGCTGCTTTGGCTGCGGATATTGAGTTTGAAGAATTGCTTGTTGCTGCGGCAAGTCGTGATAAGAAAGCGTTGTGCTGCCTGAGAGAAGATAAAGTTTAGACCTCGCCTGGGAGTTATCGGCGTAGATGCTCACTGTAATTGGATTGGGTCATGTTCACTATCTGTGGGTGCCCACTCTATTACGACTGGTGTCGCAGTGACGGGGGTATCTGTGGTCAAACCGCTGGAGAACCCTTGACGCCTACGCGCCTGTGCCGATGATTCTGCAGGCCTTGGAGTTTCGTTTGAATTGGAACTTGGTGCTGCATTCTGGCGATCGATGGGCCGAGTAGTGTGCCGGTTCCCTCTCCCTGTGTCCAATGGTACGAATTCAGCCTGTATACGGCGAATATCCTTAAGATCCCGAGCTGACAGAGTTTCGCTATGCTTCTCTACTACATGAGCTTTCAAGTCCAAAGCGCTCGAAAACACGACGAATTTCTGTGCTAAACACTCGGCATGGGGACACGGGTGATGTTCGTTTTGAAAATGGCTCTCCTTTACTTGTATGAATACAAAGTATTAGAATTAGTTGAAAGTTTTTATTGCGTACCAGGGATGTGTAGTTTTCAAAGCTGTATTTGTTGGTTAGATGAGCCGAATGACACAAGAAGTTTGGATAGCATACTACTGGTGTCTTATTCCTAGATTTTTACAGATGAAACACTCCTCGTGTTTAAGGCGCATATGTGCAAAGTGCTCGTCCTCACCGTACAAGGCCTCATCACAAAAGGCGCATACCGGATGAGATTCGATATCTGAAGATGCGGCAGTGTGTTTGGAATGACGAGAAGAAAACCCTCGAGCCGTCGGAAGGTGGATTGCTAGCTGTGCTGGGGTATAAAGAGTATGCTCGTGCGCAAATATTTTCTTGTGTCGAATACAGAGGTCACTGAAGCCAAAAGAATCAGGACCTCTTTATAGTCGATGGATCTCTCCAACATACCACAACAAGGAGCCGTGGCTACTTCGAACGTGTGCCCTGAGTTCCGGCCAGCCTGTGGCGACAAAGTCACAATTTATATCCGGGCAGTTGAAACGGAGTAGAATTAAGCAATCTTCCATTAATTCCTGGGATTCAAACCTCATTCCAAGCTTGTCATCACTATAAGGTAGATCGGAAGGTGAAAATGACTCGTAAGGACGTTTAGATGATGTGATAATTAGAGAGGATTGAGGCGTCTATGAGGGGTTGATACGTCGTCAGCGAAGTATAAATCAATTATCGAAGAACTAACTTTGCAGAAAGTACATTCCAGCTTTTTTTATACAGGGCCCTCAGGCGAAGAGCACAGATGTGACATGTCTGATGGTTACACTCGGCCACGGCATAGGATTTCTTTTCCATCGATTCTGCGCAGATATGACATATTTCTATATCATTATCTGGTCCTTCTACTCCTTCGTCCTGAAATTCACCGTCTTGGTCTCTTGGCTCAACTTCTTCCTTTTTATCTGCCACATTAGGGGGCTTTTGTGATGTTTTCCGATTTTTGCGGCCTTTCCTGTTGCCTTTCTTTTGGTTTTGAGATAAAGAGTTCGTGCTCGACATTCTTAGAAGAAATTAAGCGGTCCAAGATGATTGACAAAGCATTTACACGCTGGTCAAGAAATTGGAATTGGCAAGTATATACAGATAAGAATAAAGGAGATCATGTCTCTGAATGGACCACGCCCCGTCATTTAAGCTTTGGTTTCTTGCTCACATTAAGCACCTTGGAGATATCTTCGGCATCTGTTTCTATCTCTCGGCTTCGCTTGTTTGTATGTGACTGTTCAATACCAGACGATGCAGTGACAAGCGGTAGAACGTCCCCTGCTGGTATAGGAGATGCCCGTGAAGATGGCAATGATGCGATAGACCGTCCCCTAATTTGCTTTGACTTCGAGGAAGGAGAACCAGTGGCAGCAAAAGAGGGCGGTACCGACGTGAAAGGATTTGAATCATAAAGACCAACTCTAAACTCACTACCACCCGAACCATCAACATTCTCTGGCAGTGCAGTAAATCCTTGTCTAGGTGTCTGAAGTGTGGATTTCTGTGTAGATCCTTTGGAAATCACCTTCTGGAGACAGGTATGTTGCACTGAACGGAAACCAGCTTGTACGAGACCATAGAGACTGTCGAAGTTAACCTTTAGTGGTAGAATGGGCAAAGCGCTCACCTCGGGTTACGTGTAAATACTCTCAGCGCCAGCTCCGCAAAATAATGGGGAAATGTCTGACTATACACCTCTGGCTTTGCGTGCATCGCTACTGCAAGTCTATGTTAGAAGGGTATGGCATAAGGGGATATGGACGAGCTAAAAGGAAGACAAGGTGCCATACCATTCGGATTGTGTTTTCCATAGAAGCTTTGGTTATACGTCAGTCTATGCGCTTTGCTCTGTGAAATATTGTAACGCACAAAACTAAATCGACAGGGTTTTTGTCACGCATCCCAAAGTGTACAAATGTCCAATCCACGATCACATCGGATGCCAAGACAGGTGGTTGATTGCTGGTTTCAGAATCCTCACTACGTATCTTGTTCGCTTCTTTGACAATACTCTCGCAAGTAACAAATTTCCTCCAATGCTCCTCTTCATGTGCGTGGAGATGGATAACATCTACGCATTTATACAAGCGCCGCCTGCGTAGTCGTTCGATGATCTCGCGCGACGCTGCAAGTTCCTGGTGGATGGCTTCAATAATTGCGTGAATGAGGTAGGAAGAGCTTACAGGGTGGAAAGAACGTTCAATTTCCTCTATAATCGAGTCGGTCAAAAATACGTAACGGTTTGGATCCGTGATTTGATCAGAAATTCTCAAAATCGGATCGGCGGCCAGTAGCGCGTCTACCACCATATACTCAATTGCTTTCGCTGCTGGGTGAGTGTATACTATTGTGTGGAATAAGAATGTGGGCCAACGGAAAGATACTGGCCGACCTCGTTTATGGAGACTCCACCTCTCCTGAAAGACAAGAAATACATTGGTGATATCTTTGTTAGAATAGGCGATATGAGCCCCAATCACTCGACTAGACTTGATGAGCCTATATAGAGGGTCAGTAATTATGCCCATGGAAATGTTGACCTAGATACCGGATGGCTGCGAGACTACACTTGGCCCCCCCGATTTGATGGGTATCCCTTGCAATGTAATCAAATCTTTTTATCGTTAAACACAAGATAATCGTATGAGATTGGAGACCTACTTGTCTACATCTATGCCGTTTTGTTTATTTGCGACGATTTGGAACAGGTAAGGCTTCTCCTCATTTTCTGGATGTCGGTCAATCCCCGCAATAAGATCACGAACGAAGTCGATATCGCGTCTTGAAATATCTATCTCGTTCTCTTTGATCATCGCCTCGAGCATCAACTCCGATGCATCTTCGTGCTTCCAAGTACTTCCTGGGCTACATTTACGTCAGTCGATTCGACTTTCAAGACATCAATATGTACCAAGCCCTGAAGAGAGGTAAATCGCAGTGATGAGAGAAGGTAATAAAGCTTACCGAGGGATGAACTGGCCATCAAATACATGGCTAAATGGACCGTGACCTAGTGGTGTCAACTTTGTCACCAACTTGAGACAGAATTTGTACCTAAATCATGCAAAAGACCTTGAAGTGTTTTAGAAATGATAGGATTCACTTATCAAGTCTTCATCTCACCGGCTAATTGGACACATCGTCGATCTCTTAGGGTGATGTTTAGTCCTGGTTGCTGAGCAAGATGTTCCACCATCGTTTTGGCTAGGTGCATGACACCTATTTCGTTTGCATTCATATCAATTCAAGAATAGAACACTTGTTCAGAAGAAACGGACCGAGACAATGTTCAAACCGATTATGGCATCCACCCGGCCATACGAAATAGGAAGTTCCTAGTTGTTTGATGTTACGAAGACGTTGAAACTGTCGTCTTCATCGCGTCGTTCGTCAGGATAAAAAGGAGAAAGAAATAATGCTACCTACGTGTCGATAAACTGGCAGAAGAATGGATCTACTTCGACTGACGGGCTTGGCTTTAAAATACTACTCTTCACACTTTTATGGTCCAATTTAACGCACTATAGTCATATATCGGATCCTTTATATTGCGTACATGTGGAAGAGGTGAGTTGTCAAAGCCTGGTTCATCAAAGTCTTGTGTTGAACTCTCAGGGTCGAGCATGGCAGGGTTCAAGGTGAATCAACCCTAATAATGTCATCTGTAAAACTAAGAAAAACGGAAGATATTATGAGGGGCGGTCATTGTATTACAAGCTCAGTTGGATATGACCAGAGATAGCTCTGGGTGAATGAATACAACTCTTCACTAGATATCGGTGGCTTTTAAGTATTTCGCTCGTATCGAGCGCAAAGCATCGCATGATCCTATTAACAAGAGTAAATCATGAGTATATACTGGTTCGTAGTTACGCTCACCCTTTCGTAAGGCTCTAATGTTAATTGTTCAGTTGGCCGAAACTTCATGGTCTTCAACAATTGTACTTCGTTGGCAAAGACTTGCTCTGCTGGCATAGTGGAGTCTATACAATTAGCTTTGATGGATATAACAGCATATCCTTGATTTTTGAGGAAGTAATCAGCATTTAGGGCGACAATACGGGCTTGATCAGGCTGAGCGACATCTGAAAATATGACATCCACAAGTGAGAGGAGCATGCGGTACTTGGTAGGGTGCCTGGCATCCTCAACGATTGCTGCTAAATCATCAGAATTCGAGTATGAGTACACACCCAAGAATGCTCACGAATGACATTTGTTCTCTTTTTGGCCATGTTAATGAGATCTCTTCCGCTTCTATGGGAGAATTCTACGGCATAAACCACGCCTTCAGGCCCAACAATGTCCGCAACATGGCTGACACTGGTACCGCTGGCAGCTCCAAGGTAGAGTACTTTTTTGCCGGGTCCTATATGGATGTGATCCAAACCCCCAAGAACACCAGCTGCCAGCTTTGATCGAAAGGGGTTCCATACACGGTACTCTGTCTTGGTTGAAATACCATCGTCTGATTTTGGGCCTTCAATCATTATACGTTTCTCTCCATAGACTGATTCTCCAGGGACGAGATTTTTTGTGACTAGTAACTGCTCTTTGCCTTTCGCAACAAAGATGCCGGGATGACGGTGGGGTTCAAGAATCTTTTGATTTTTATGCGAATATATCAGCTGTACAACCATTTGCATATATAAGGGAGTACATACGACGTTAGACCCGCCTTTTGCTCCACGTCCTGTTGGTTTTCCACCTCGCCCACGACCAGCTCCTCTACTACCACCACGGGCACCGCCCCTACTACCACCTGTTCGTATTAAACAATGTCTTGTGTCAACCAGCAAACCTTCAAAGCTCCCAGGATACTGACCTCTTGGGGCACCTCTCCCGGGTGGGCCGCCTCGACCTCTATTACTAGAGCCACCTCGACCGCCACGCCCACCAAAACCACCACGACCTCCAGATTGACCTAAAACGAACGGAATACTTTAATTATAAGCTAAATGAGTGTGAGATTGATTATTCACCAAATGGCATAGTTAGGAGATGGTTTGGAAAAGTTTAGAGTTCAATTATCCCAGCCTCACACTAGCCTCTGGCTCATTATTAATGTGCCATGCCTGGCTTGGTTCGGGGCCATTACACGTAAGAAAATTATTGATCGAAATCAAGCACTGGTTTGTATAATTGTTACCTCCTGCTCGAAGGTTTGGCCATCTGCCTATTTTGAATCTCCGCCCAAATAACGCGTTGACCAGAACCCCATCAACAGCCATGTCGTCTTCTTCATCCCTATCAATTCAAAGGACAAAAACATACTCCAAACGCTCAAGATCACATGTACCAACGGATACATCGCGCTCTACTCCAGCCACGCCTTCCAAGAAAAGAAAGCGGACTTCTGATGACGAGAATGACGATTCTAAGGGTGAAAACCGCGTTTTTAAGCGAGCTAACACCTTTAAAACCGCATACACCTCCATAAAAAAGGGTGTTTCTAATGTCAAACCATCACACACCACGCGGAAGCCTCTCCAGCAGTTAGTGCTTGCCTTCTCTGCTGCACCTTCCCTCGTGTCTTGCCCCCTGTGTGACCTCTCCTACACGCGTGGAGCCCCAGACGACGAAGACCTACACAAGATTCACTGTCCTCGTGTCATGCGTGGAACTGAATGGGGTAGGGAAGAAGAGCGGGAGGCTCTCAAGGCCAATGTGTCTATTATAGAGTCTCGCATCGAGCTTTCGAACGGTCAACATGGGAGAATTATCTCAATACCAGGATCAACCACAGGAAAAATTGGATCCAAGGTGTGTAAACTCCCTTAAATAGGTATCCAGTCTGCTTAGCAGTATTAGGTTGAATGCGTTTTACGTACAATCAATACAGCACTATCCTCGCCAGCCCTTACTGCAGACGCCCTTGCTGCCTCCAAGATATATCTCTTCCTTCTC